GAGAGAGAGAGAGAGAGAGAGAGAGAGAGAGAGAGAGAGAGACATCCAACGTATCTAGTTCCTGATGCCTTCCCCTCAATAATGGACTGCACCTTCAAACTGTTAACAATAAGCCCTTCTTCCCTTGTGTTACTTCTGTCAAAAATTTTGTCACAGGAATGAGGAAGTACATTCCCTCAGTCCATCACAATACCCTTTCCCTATGTGTTATGTAGGTCTAATTTGATGTTTTCTGTTAACCCAACAGGGAAAGCAAGGCACATAGCTTAGGTATATTGTCCAAAGTCATTAGCCACTGAATAACAGAACTGAAATTCAAATAAGGTTCCAATGTGGAAATCAGCATCCCATCCAATGTGGCCCAAAGCCTCACCTTTCTCATAGGTGGACCCCCACCCTGAAATCCAGCATTCTTGTGCCGGGTCCAGCATCATGCCTGGGTTCGGCAGACACACTGGCTTCACTAGCTCTGTTAAGGAAGAACAGAGGGTTATCCAGGCCTAGATGGCCTCTGTGAGAGTCTCCCCTGGCTGCCCCATGACCTGCCCCCGCCAGAAACCCGGGTTGCCATGAGTCCTGGACCCCTCATTCCCATCCTGGCAGGCCTGCTTCCTGACAGTTCCTCTGGACATAATCAAGTGCTGGCCTTGCTTCTAAAACACAGCACACAGGCCCGAGTGACAGAGGAGGAAAGGACTGGTGATGGCCATTGCTCAGAAGCTGGTTGCTTCAGCTTGTCCCCAAGCCACACCATCCCTCAAGGATCTGCTATTCTGTGTGTGAGTTGGTCCCCCAGCTTGACTACAAGCACTTTACAAGAGAAGTCTGCTGTCATCTGTAGATTCTAGAACATTCCGTGCTCTTGCATAGACTAGGAAAGGTATAATAAGAAGGTAAAAAAGGGCCTGGGGATGCAGCCCAGTTGGCTAAGTGCCTGTCTAGCATGCACAAAACCCTCATGAAACCAGGCACTCAGGAGGTGGAAGGAAGAGGACCAGGAACTCAAAGTCATAGATGGCTACACAGAAGGACCAGCTTAATCTATACATAAAAAAATATTGTATATACATTATCAAAATCTCAAAGAATAAATTTAAAAGTATTATTTTTAAAAAAGGAAATGGAGCCTGGAAGTGGTGGTGCATGCCTTTAATCCCAACACTTGGAAGGCAGAGGCAGGTAGATCTCTGTGAGTTCAAGGCCAGCCTGGTCTACAAAGTGAGTTCCATGACAACCAGGGCTACACAAAGAAACCCCATCTCAACAACAAAAACAAAAACAAAAACAAAAAAAACCATAAATAAATAAATAAATAAATAAATAAAGGAAGGAAGGAATAAATAAGTAGTTTATAGCCTATTCTTTGATCAAGAAACTTATTAAAGTTCTTTTAAAAGTACATTATTATAATTTCCATGATTCTTAAATGTTTACAAAATATTAGAGAAAACACATTCCTTAAAAAGCTAAGGCTCTGCTGGGCGTTGGTGGCGCATGCCTTTAATCCCAGCACTCGGGAGACAGAGGCAGGTGGATCTTTGTGAGTTCAAGGCCAGCCTGGATAGGCTCCAAAGCTATACAGAGAAACCCTGTCTCAAACAAACAAACAAACAAACAAACAAAAAAGGCTAAGGCTCTGCATTTCATTTTTAAAGTATGAGGCTTTCAGACATGTTTGTTTAAAACAGAAAAAAACAGTTGTCTTCGGAGAGATGGCTCAGTGGTTAGGAGCACTGGTTGCTCTTCCAGAGGACCCCTGTCTCATTTCCCGCACTCACATGGAGGCTCACAACTGTGTCAGGGAACGTGGCACTCTCTTCTGGCCTCTGTGGGCACCAGGGACACATGTGATGCACAGACATACATGCAGGCCAAACACCCATCACATAAAAGTTAAAAAAAAAAATTAAACATTTTAAAAGCAGTAGTCTTTACAAATGATCAACCAGACAATGGTCTCAGCTGGAGAGCATGTTGCCCCACAAGGACAGTAAGCAGTGTTTGAAGCTGGCTCTGACTGCCCTCTGGTGGAATGAGCCTCACATACCATTAAAAGTCAGAGGCGTCTGCAGCTTCATGAGAGCGATGTCATTATTCTTGGTCTTAGAGTCGTAATTTGGATGGGAAATCACTTTTTCTACCTGGTGTCTATTTCCATAGAACATGAGAGACTGTTTCAAAATCCCCGCGAACGCTGTCCAGTACCTCGGGCTGTTGAGGGGTCTGGGAAACAGGGGACAGCATATAGAAACTCATCACCACAGATACAAGGTGCACCCTCCAGTCTTCAAAACACATATGCTGAGGTCTGGAGTAAGATGAGCACCCCAAGCCATACAGTAAAACTGTGAGGCAGAGGACTCCTCACTTCCCACCTCCCCACACCTGTAAGCTGCTGAATAGCTTTCTGAGGGTTCTGTTCCTTCTCACATATAGGGCAGGCACCCTTCTGTGAGACTTAAAATCACATTTCTGACAAGACTGTCTCACTAATCTTTATATGCCAAAGCATTTAATGACATGCAGTGGGTGCTTAATAAATGAATTCTGGTGAACATACCAGGGCAATGTGAGGTTGTCAGAGTGTACTTTGCCCTGAGATGCACACCCAGAAGAAATGAGACTGACAGAGCAGGGGCTCTCAAAACATAGACAGAGGTGAGAGAGAGCAGCTGGAGCATATCTGGTCACATTGCTGTCGACAATCATGCCTATCCTAGGCTGGGATGCAGCAGCAGGCAGGAGAGACCACGGGCACATTTGTCTAACGAGTGGATGAGGCTGTGCTCCTGCAGTGCATATGTCCCCCACCCTGCAGCACTCATCCCATTATACACAAGACATAGGAGCTGCCACACAACTTGGTGTGGGTCACATGGTGGCAGAGCCACACTCCAAACCCAGAAGTCTTGGCCATATGACTCCACCCTACTACCCCAAACCTCACAGGATGCAGACATACTCTTCCACACAGTGAGCGGCTGTCACAATCCACTCGGGGGTGATGATGGAGCCTCCACAGACATGGACACCTTGAACGTGCAGGCTGACCTGCCAGGGCCAGTCTCCTGGTGAAGCATTTGATCCACCCACAATCCTGCTCTGGCGTCTCACTGAGCGGATCCCACATTCTGAGGGTGACAGGCACATGTTAGGTGTCAGTCAACAGGAGACACCAGGACCAGCACAACTCAAATCAGCTGCCTTCTCTGGCTTTACCAGGTGGTGGGGCTGATGGAAGGTGACTGTTGCTGCCTGTCTTTACCCATTATTAGGAGTCTGAATAAGCAAGTGTCTGTGTGGAGTGGGGTGGATACTCTCCTAGGTCCCCAATGGTGCCACTCATTTCCTGACTGGAGCATGGGCTAATTCTTATTGGTACCCAATTCCACCAGATCTCTGATAGGCATGATTGGGAAGGTCCTGGGTAACAGGCTCCTCAGGGAGACAGGACCTGTCTTTGCACCCCAGGACTTCCGGGCAAAGAAAAGGGAGGTAGGTGAGGCCGAGAATGAGTGAGGAAAAGGGTGAGATGAAAGGACATGAGGTCATGTGAGGGACTGAGGGAGGAGTTGAGTGAAGGGTAGTAGGGGTGACGAAGGCTGAGCACCCCTTGGGAAATAATAAACAGGTTCTTTGCTGACCAGCTGACTGAGAGAGGAGGCCATCTACTCCAGAGTCAGCAGCCCCTGCTGGCCTGAAGGGAAACTCTAGAACTTCACAGGTGTGGGGCAAGTTCTCAATGAAGAGATATCAAGGTAACATGAAAAGTGGGTGTTGGAGACTACTTGATGTGCTGGAAGGTAGCAAGCAGCTGCTATGGGGTGATAGCTGAGTGGGCCTGGTGCATCTCAGCACAGTGTGGAGCAGGACTTCTGGAAGCATCCTCTAAGTGCCACCTGAACCTCTTTGTGAGTGACTCTGAGTAGCAGTGAGGCACGTGTGGCAAACGGCTAACATCAGAGTTCTCCTGGTTGTGCAATACCTACTGGGGAATCTCATGGAGACTCAGAGCTCAAGGTGAGCTTCAAGTCCCAGGCCTAGGTTGGCCATCCATATTTACCAAGTGTGGGCTCCATGAGTAGTTGACACACACAAAGAGGGGGACCCCAGTTAGCCACCATACAAGCTACTAAAGGAAGGTAGAAGGGCATGCTTGCTGTTAGGATTTCTCCTTAGGAGTCCCAGAAGCTGTGTGCCCCAGAGGAAGACTGCATGACACTGCTTTGGCTTTGCCTCAGGCAAGGTCACTGCTGCCAAGGCTCCAAGATCACAAACATCTCACCCCTCCACTTCATGAAGAAGGAGCCACCAGGGCTCCCCACTCATGGAGGCATCTAAAAATGAGGCCGCAGAGTCCAGCCATCACCTGCCCTCAGTAGACACTACAGTGTGGCAAAATTCCAAAATAGAGATCGAGTGTAAGCAAAGGAGTCCAGGCACATCCCTGCTGCTCCTAGAGGCCTGCCCTCACCATATCTCCAGAGCCAGGGACATTTCTCCAAAGCCACAGACTGGATCCTACTCAGAAGCATGGGGAAGTACTCACCAATACAGCGTAAAGAAACCACCATGCGGGACGTACAGGAGTCACTGGAAAGAAGAAGGGACTCGGTTACCACAGCCACCATGAGACACTGATGACTTGTCCTACTGTTGCCTCCTGCCCACCACTAATGACCCTACTGACATGACTAGGCCAGATGGGGATAGTGGCAAAGAATGGACACAGTCAGAGTACTAGGCTCAAATCCCAGCTGTTCACCTTTGGGCATGATGCTAGCCCTCTCTCTGCCTTTTCCCAACAGGCAGAATAACGTCACAATTCAAAGCCGGGCATTGGTGGCGTACACCTTTAATCCTAGCACTCGGGAGGCAGAGGCAGGCGGATCTCTGTGTTCCAGGGCTAGACTGGTGTACAGAATGAGTTCCAGAGAAATCCTGTCTTGAAAAAAATAAATAACAACAACAATTCAAGTTGATCCCTGATCTGCAATATGCCAAAATCTTAAAACTTTGGAACCACAACACAAGTGGAAAATTTTATACCTAACCATATTCGAAGGGTCAAGACTTTGTCATGCTAGAATGTTAGCAACCTTCAGTCTATGCATATAAGGTATACACAAGGGCCAGCTAAATGGCTCAGCGGGTAGGGGTACTTGCCTCCAAATCTGACAATCTGAGTTCAATCTCTGGAATCCACATGGAGAGGACTGACTCCTCTGGCAATACACCCACATAAACAGACTACATAAATTTAAATAAAGGAACGCATGAAATGAATCAATTCTGTCCTTACATTTGAGTTCTGACCCCAAGATGCCCCACACATAAGTACTTTAAAATTCTGAATGACCTCTAAAATTCTTCTGTCCCCAACATTTCAACACAAGGATGAACCATATCATTAGGATGATGGCTTGTGGGAGGAGGGCACAGTTTCATCAGTTTTTACTTCTGTCCTTGCATAATTTGAAATCATCCTCTAGTCTGGGTATCACTGCAAACACCTGAAATTTCAGTGCTAGAGAGTCTGAGACAGGGGGATCACCAGTCCAAAGCCAGCATGGGCTACACAGCAAGACCCTGTTACCAACAAATGAGCAACCATTCACTAGTGTCATCAGGAAATGGTCTGGAAACTTCTGATTTCCCTGGATGGCTTTATATGTAAACCACAGATGACAACAAAACCAATACTTTGCCAGGGGCAAAGAAACCAAACAAAATAACAAGACAAAACAAAAAAAAGCACTCAGTTGGGAATCAAACTTTCCATGCTGTGTATGAGCAAGAAACACTCAGAGCATTCCATCCTATAGACACTGTCCCTGGTGCACTGAAGAGGCCACAGTCCCGATGCCCTGCGGGCACCAATGGCCATTTGTGGTTCTGTAGGGAACAGTTGATTTCCCAAACACCAGTGGACACTTGGACAGATAAAGACCCAGCGTACCAGCCCACTCCACTGTCATCCACGCACACACTGAATGGGGACCTTTCCAAACCCCCAAATAAAGAGCTATTTGTGCGAGGGAAGCTTGTGCCAGGGAAGCCTCAAGAAGGGAATGTTGGAAAGAGGACATTTCTGCATCATATGACTTCACTGAAGCTTTGACTCTGAACACAGATGGGTACTGGGCACACGGTTAGGCCATTTGCACCAGTGAATGTCTCTGCAAATGCCTCTCTGCAGATTCTAGACTTCTGTGTGTAATAAGTTGCAGAACATTACTGAAATGCAGCATTTCTGTGTATAAAATAAACAGGTTTAACTACAGAATTCAGAATTCAGAATTTTTCTACCGTTACTCCTGTGTAAGTAAGTAAATTTGCAAACTCATCCATCTCATTGGTATACAAATTTGCTTTAATCTTTAATAAGTAGTAAAACCATATGTGTGCAGAGGTACTGTTTGAAGGCAATTTTATTTATGATTTTTTACCAGGAAACATTTGATTTGTGTATCTATCTTATAGTCCTACATAGCTGGGGTCACGTAAGATTTTCTCAGGGGGAAAGGTGTCACAGTTTAAGAAGCTCAAGACTAGACAATAGCTTTCCTGCCAGTTACCTTGCGAGTTGTAAAGGCCCTCACCAAGGCTGGTGGCCTGAGCTCACCCCTCCCTGCTGTGCTCCTTTCTGCACCAGCAGCCTACACCTCCTCTCTCCTACCTTCTGCATTTGCCAACTAGACATAATCCTAGGCCTGAGTTCCCGTGGAAGACAAAGAGCTACTCAATTCACATAAAACACCTGCCACCTATGCTAGGCTCTGCTGTCTAGATGGAACACCTGGCCTGGCACAACTCTCCCGCCAAGCCAGACCTTCCACATTCTCAGAGACAGCTAGCCTAAGGCAGGACATCCTGGATGGTAGCTACCAGGAAGAAAAGCCACTGAGTGATTTGTTCTCCAGCCCAGACAGGCAGTTCCAGACAGCTGGCCCTAGAGGCACCTGAGCCACCTGGAAAAGAGCAATGAGGCCCTAGGAGGTCTCTGCACAAAGAAGACATCATGAGTTCCCAACATCAAAAGCACATGGAGAAGAGCAATGGCCCTGTAAACTCATACAGAAATGATGGCCATCTGCCCTAGGATCTGTGGTTTGAGCACAACAAATGTTTATTGAACTAACCACTTGCACCAGGGCCCAGAACATTATCCCATGGCATCATCTCACTGCCAGTCATGGGTCGGAGCCAAGGGCCAGAAAATCTCTTGGACTCCTGCTGACCAATGCTATAGTGTGTGTCATACAGTTTGTCCCTCTGAGTTCATGCTAGAGAATAAACTCCAGAGTCTATTTTCATGGTACTGAGAGAACAGAGACTTGATGCAACTGTGATGCTTGAGGGGTGGGGCTCTGTGAAATTAAGTCATGGAATGGGGAGAATCCTGGTGACTTCATAAGGACAAAGAGAGAGGCCACACAGGGCTTAGTGTTCCTGCCATGACGAGATGTGGCCCTGGGACCCTGCCAGAGCTATGTCATGCTATAAGGGATTTAAATCTCTAAAAGGATGAGTTAACAAAACCATTTTCTCTATAAAGCAGCCTGACTTAGGCATTTTGTTATAGAAACAAAATCTAACTAACATATACCCTAGCACAGTAGGCATACCTCCCAGTGTCTGGAGAATAAAAAACAACAACAAAAGTCTAATCTCATTTCACAATGTTATTCGTTACTATAGGTCAGACAATAGAGATTGAATCCAAAATGGCAAAATGGCATGTAAATCCCAGATAGTTGCTAAGAATGAAGTCAAGGTTGCTGCAGGTCCTATCTCTAACATCCACAAGTGTGAGGCTCACCAGCCCCCAGCACACTCCCAGAATACAGTCTAGAGAAATCAACTCAGGACTGTACCATCTGTGGGATCTCCTCCTCAAATTCTGCAAATCAAAGGAACCCTCCATACCTGTGGTAGAGTTTCTTATAGAGGTCGATGTTGCCTGCGCTTGTGTTTAGCTTCATAAAGCTCGTTGCCCCGCTGCTATCTGGTATTCCTTGGGTATAATAAAAATTGTTCCTGGAAATGACAGAAAATCTTACTGAAAATAATGCTTCAGGCATATGAATTCGAGGAGCACACCCCCATATTAAAAAGCCATCCTTGGATGGTGGCTGCAATAGAAGTTTCACTTGAACATGCTAGAAAACAAAACCTAAGCTCAAATACAGCCATGCTGTGTGGAAGCCATTGTCCAATCCAGAAACTCTGACTTGTGAGGTTAGAGTCTTCCATTAACTGTGTTTCAGATCCAGAGTGAGCTAGGACAATGGGGTGCTAAGGAGGCCCAATTACATCCACAGTATCTAATAAAATGTACATTTATTAGTCTGCCACAGAGACCTGGGTGTATCTCTGTGTACACAAGATGATATTTGTGTAAGTGGAGACCATAGGTCAACACTGAGCATCTTCCTTAATTGCTCTCTACCTTATATTTTATTATTTTATGTGTGTCTGCCTGTGTGTATGTCTATGCATCAAACATAAGCCTAGTGCTCTCAGAGGTCAGAGAGGGCACTGGATCCTGTGGAACTGGAGTTACAGGTGGTTATGAGCCACTATGTGGGTGCTGGGGACTGAACTCAGATTCTCTGGAAGAGGAGCCAGTGCTCTTAACTGCTTAACCATCTTTCTAGCCCCTTCTCCAGTGTGTTTTAAGCCTGAATCTCCTACTGAACCTGGATCTCTTCAATTCAGGTAGGCTGGCTGGCCAGCAAGCCCTAAAGATTCTTCCGTCTCTGCCTCCCCATCACTGAGATTATTTTGCCTCCATGGCTTTTACATGGGTGCTGGGGATCAAAATGAGATCCACATGCTTTAGTGGCAAACACTTTTCCCACTGAGCCTTCTCCCCAGCCCCGTAAGGCAGCAGCATTTTGAAGTGTCTCATTAGCTGAGAGGCCGACTCTCACATCAAGTAGTAATTCGCCTTTGAGAACTGGCAAACAGAACGCCCGAGTGTGCATAGGATCTCACAACTACCCCATGGAAGAAAAATCCTCGTTAAAATCGTAATTCTCCTCCCAGGCCTGAGGCCTGCGGGTCTTCATGAGAGCCATAGTTTGGATGTGGTTTATGTGCTCCAAGTCCACACTGAGAGAGAGGGGTCTGATGTAACAGTGTTGAGTGTCAATAGGGACTTTAACGTTTGCATCACAGTAACTCCATTCTCAAAAGGGATTAATGCTGTTCTAAGGGGTTGACTTAAATCTCTCAAGAGCCCTTTTTTTTCACAGCAGATCCAGTTTCTTCAATCCCCCCCGCCCGACATGTGCTCATCAGCTCTCCCACTTTTCTACCATGAGCGGGAGAAACAGTACAAGGCCTTCACCAAAAGCCAACACATGACCTTTGGTTCCCTCCAAAATAGTGAACTAAAATAAGCCCCCATTCCTTACAAAGTACCTAGCCTCAAGTATTTTGCTATAGTAGAAGACTCTGGGTAATGCTGGAGCCCTTGGCCAGAAAGTGATGGTGGAAGTTACTCCTTTTCAGTCCTGGTTGCTGCACACAGGAAGGAATTCTTTCTCTTTTTTTTTGGTTATTTGAGACAGGGTTTCTCTGTGTAGCTCTGGATGTCCTGTAACTCACTCTGTAGATCAGGCTGACTTCAAACTCAGAAATCTACCTGCCTCTGCCTCCTAAGTGCTGGCATTAAAGTCATGCACCACCACTGACTGGCAGAAAGGAATTCTTAAGTGTGGTTCTACTCAGGTCTCTTCCGTGCCCAAACCCTTCAGTGGCTCCTGCCTACAGTGAACAGAGCAAAGTCTCAGGCTCCTCTGAAAAGTTCCAAGGTCAGAAAGTGACCATTGCCCTTCTTAGCATCCTCTTCCCGGCATCCCAGAATTACTTGGGCATTCCCAAGTAGCCAAGAATGATGCAGAGCAGGTGGCAGTGAACCTAAGCTGACAATGTTGGGGTGATGAGGTTACAGGATCAGCTTTTGGAAGGTAACAAGTGTCTGCAGCATCCAGTGCCTAGCACATACAATTGGAGAGATGGTCTGTCAGTGTCATTATGGTGGCACAGTGTCTATCTTGAGGTCACCATACTCACTTGTAGCCCATGTCTTTGCATGCTGCTCTCCCGTAGCTGTCATTCCAATCATCCTGGCACACAGGATACCAGGCTTCCCTCTGAGATGAGTAAACTTGGAGGGTGAAGCTTGGTCCATAGAGGCGAACTGCTCAAGGAGAAAGATGACCCATGAGTCCTTGACAATAAATCCTCATCTTCCAAATGCTACCCTAGCCCCACACTGTCCAAACACAACACCACAGCTTTTTCCTAAGGCCACAGCTGCACACCCAGAGGGACCATGAACCCCTGTTTCCTTGTTAAAAAGCATTCTGAAAGAATTCCAACTGGATATTCAGACACAAATTCTTCACAATGGCCCACAGCCCATTATTGGATGTCACACCCAAGAGACATGATGGAAATTCATTCAGCTGTCAATGACAACAAAGCTCTGACAGGAGCCCCTACATGAATGGGCCTTTAAGGCTTGACACAAAGTGAAAGAGAGTCACAGAAGTCCACAGATTGGGTGATGCCAAGCATATGGAAAATCTAGATGAGAAAACCTAAGAAAGGGCTAGAGAGATGACTTAGCCATTAAGAGCACATACTGCCTTTGTAGAGAACCCAAATTCAGCACCTATGTTAGGCAGCTCAGAACAGTCTGTAACTATAGTTCCAGGAGATGTGATGCTCTCTTATTCTGGCCTTCTGCGACATTATGTTCATGTTGCATACACACACTGAGAAACACACATGCATATATCTATTTATTTAAAAAGAAAATCTAAAAAGAAGGGATATTAGTAATTTCTTGGGACCTGAGCAAGGCAGGCAGAAGGGCCTTATCAAGAAGATGGGACACTCCTCAACTGCCTATAACAAGGGCTACACATGTTCAAATATATAAAAACCACAGCTCATACATTCATCAAGGATGATTCATGGGGTACAAATGATAGCTTATTGGTTAAAAAAATGAATAAAATACAGAGCAAAAACAAAGTCCCCATCAAGCTCTCATTTTGTACAGCTTGATCTCACATCCAGATCCCAGGCACTGGCAGACCACCCAAGGCCCTGATAAGCACCCCAGAATTATTACCCAAATGCTGAATTGTTCATTTACATTTTGCTTGAAAAGATATCAGCTCTTTGATTTAAAGAACCAACACATTTAAATGCAGCTAGGTTCTTCCTTACTCATCTCTGGTCTCCAAAGGGATCTGCATAGCCCAGCATTCAAAGGACTTGTCATCTGATAGAATGTGAGAGTGGTCAACTCTTAGCAGACTCCCAACTGGTGGGTGACCCAGGGGAAAGGAGTTTACAAGAAGAATCTTATAAACAGTGCCACACCAACGACAGCATCCAAAAGACACATTCGGCATCGTACCATGTCTATAGAGTTTAAAAGCACAGGGCTACATGATGAGGAGAGGACAATAGGATCTGATCAAGCCTTGGCTCACTTCTCACCTCCATCCTGGTCCTAGCTCATTGGACAAGTAGCCCGACACCTTAGGGTCACCTCCTCAGAGAGTGTCCACTCTGGGGCTTGACTGTTTTCTATGGCTTTGAGGTTGAGTGGGAAGTCACACAGCATGGCCTAACCATGTGTTTCATGGGTAGATAAAACTCTGCTATGAGCTGGGCAATAGGATGTCACTCATTACCCAAGAGAAACCACAAAACTGTGAAAATCCCAACCACATATTGCAAAAAGAATGAAGCCAATCTAAAAGACATGCAACTTGTATAACACCCACAACAGAACTCTCTAGCAAAGCTAAGCTATGGAGATAGCCAAAGATCTGGGGCTGGTAGGGGACAATGCAAGAAGAGGAGTGTGCAGGGCACAGGAAAATTAGGGCAGGGATTCTGGGTATAGGTACACAGCCAGTGTTGTGTCTTTGTCAAACCCATAAGGTCCCACCAGGGAAAGATAAAATTCAACATGAAGTCATGGCTCTGGCTCCCGGGGACAAGGTCCAGTGATCAGGGTGTGTTAATTCCTGGGTGATTTCTAGAGGCAGGATGGCCTCTCTCTGCAGACCTAACAGTGCTTTCAAAATTAAAGCACTTAAATGTAGCTGAGACTGTATGCTTCCACAGTTAGTGATGGAACTGTCCACATGGTGGGATGGCTGTCCTCCCTCCTGTCTGCTCTCCAACGATGATGAGGAAGCAAAAAGGAGACAAAATGATGGGAACAGGCTCACAGGAAGTGTGTGTGTGTGTGTGTGTGTGTGTGTGTGTGTGTGTGTGTGTGTGTGTGTGTGTGTATGTTAGTATTTTTACCTGTCTTTCAGAGCTACAAATGATAAGTGAAAGTATATGTTTGCGGTGTCCAAGGCAATGATTTGGTAAGTGTCCATTACAGAGCATTGCCACTACCGACTGAGTACGCTCACCTCCCTCCTTCATGCTAGGTTCTTTCTCTTGTCTGTGGTGAGAACACTTAGGATTGGCTGTCAGTGATCCCCAAGCACTTAGCACAGGGCCATTGACCACAGTCATATCAGGTTTTTTTTTTTTTTTTTTTTTCTGACAGTTTTGAGACTCAGTGAAATGAAGCAGGAACTGTTGGGTTCTGATACTTGGGCTAGCACATGCTCACACATGCCCCCGCCCTTGAGAAGAAAGTTCCATGAACATTCTTAAACGTGTTACATTCAAAAACAGACATGAAGGAGGGAGTGAAAGCATGCTATTCCTATCTATATACGGCACACACCATGCCAGGTCATCTGCCCCTTCCATATGAAAACTCTGCAAACTTCACAAACCCAAATCTCCAACACAGAATTGCCTTCCAAGCAGATCCTAAGAAGGCATCCTACTGCCCACCCACAACCTAAGCATTGCATCCTGGGCACAAGGTGGGATTGATCACCACCTCAGACAACTAGGTGTATGTTTTTTGTTTTTTTATTTTTACCCCAAACTCCCTGAGGACTGGAGATCACTTAGTGGAGATAGCAAAGCCTGGGCGATTCCTGGAGAGACTTTTACTACAACATGAACTTCCCATTTAAGAGAAAGGTCTTCTGGGTTGAGACACAGCTGAGCTTAACAGGAAGTCAGGGAGGGCAGACAAAGCCACAGCTGACCTCAAACCCTGGGCATGGGCAGTTCTTAGGGAATGAGTTCCAAGAGAGGCAGAAAAGTAGGACAGGATGGCTGTTCAGCAGCTCACTGTCAACTGCAGAGCCAGGGAAACACAGGATCTGTGTCATCTCACCACATTTCCACATAGAGCAAATGCCAGGCTGACAACAGACTTGGCCCCCAGTACCAGGACGTCAAAAGGCCCCACTTCAGACGCTAAGTGGAATGTTTTTGGTTTTTTTTTTTTTTTTTTTTTTTTTTTTTTTTTTGGTTTTCTTTCTGGAGACAGGGTTTCTCTGTGTAGCTTTGGAGCCTATGCACTCGCTCTGGAGACCAGGCTGGCCTCAAACTCACAGAGATCCACCTGCCTCTGCCTCCCGAGTGCTGGGATTAAAGGCGTGCGCCACCAACGCCCGGCTAAGTGGAATGTAATTCGAAGAATCCTATTCCTTGGGATCTTGTGCCCTGCCTCTTAAATGCCCTTGAAGTCACCTTCAAAAATTAACAGCACAAGAAAAACAAATGCAGGGCCATTGAGATTTCTCAGTGGGCTAAGAAGCCTGTTGCCAAGCCTGAGAACCTGAGTTTGATCTTCCAGGGTCCTCATTGTGATCGATTCCCACCTCCCACATGCATCTCCGTGTCACCTTCCCCACCACACACATAGTAAGTAAATATTTTCTTTAATTTTAAAAATAAAAGTGAAAATTAAAACTTCAAAGGGATAGTGCCTTGTACTTGTTATTATCAGAATGGCTATCATTAAAAAGTTGAACATAAAGCTGAGCATTAGTGGTGCACGCCTTTAATCCCAGCACTCCGGAGGCAGAGGCAGGCGGATCTCTGTGAGTTCGAGGCCAGCCTGGTTTACAGAGTGAGGGCCAGGACAACCTCCAAAGCAAAATAGAGAAACCCTGTCTCAAAAAAACAAAAACAAACAAACAAACAAACAAAAAAGTTGAACATAACAAGTGCTGGTGAAGGTGAAGAGAGAAGGGAGCCTATGAAATTGGGAGTGGGAATGTAATATGTCTAGCCAGTAGTAAAAAACAATATAGAGGCTCTTTGAAACCACTAGAATGGAATTGTCACATGATCAAGCAATCCAACTTCTAGAAACAAACCTAAGAATCCATCAGCTGGTGCATAGATGAAGAAGTGTGGTACTTGTACAAAACAGACTAGGATCTAGACATAAAAAGGATGTAATCCTGTCCCTTGGGACACTACAGATGAACCTGGAGGACTCTGCACTAAGGAAATAAGCCAGCTCAGAGAGGCAAGCATCCTCTCTCTCTCTCTCTCTCTCTCTCTCTCTCTCTCTCTCTCTCTTAGAGGCAAGCATCACAAGCTCTCTCTCTCTCTCTCTCTCTCTCTCTCTCTCTCTCTCTCTCTCTCTCTCTCCCTCTCTCTCTCTCTCACACACACACGGAATCTAAAAGTCAAACTCACTGGAGCCGAGATCACGGTGGTGGTCACCAGAAGCTTCGAGGAAGTGGTTGGGGACAGCTTGTCAAAATACACAATTTTTAATACACAGGAAGAATAAATTCAAGAGATCTATAGTGCAATACGGTGATAAATGTTAAGAGCACAGGGGATATATGTTAAGCAGTATGGTTACCCCATCCCAGGGTACATGTATAGAGACATCACACTATACCTGACAAACATGACACGAGCTCAGCTTGTCAATTATTAAGTAAACAATTGAAAGAAATAAAACAAATACATTGTTCACTGCTGTCACAGTGGACATGACCTTAAAGGCAGCTCATTTGAAAACCAGCATAGTGCACTCCAACTTCATGTTTTCACAGCCTGCTTGTTTTAACCACATCCTGCCTGAGTCCTTGCTGGCGTTGTCACCTCCCCATCACTCTGTGTAGTGCCAGGCCAGAAACATAACCCTGAACATAGGAGGGCTAAGACATGGATCAGTGGGCTGGGCAGAAGCCCGCCTGGCTGTCCCACAGCTGCTGCTTTAGGGCAGACATACCAAGCCCAGTGCTTCCTGAGCCAACTCACCACACCGGTTCTCATCTTCCCCGTTGGGGCAGTGTGCTATCCCATCACACCAGAGAGACGAGCTGATGCAGGTGCCTGAAGACATGCACTCCATCTCAGATGTAGAGCACCCTGGCACTGGATAGGGAGAAAGGGAGGGAGACTCATCAGGCTGAGCCTTCAAGATACTGCAGAGCCCATAGGAGGTTTGCCATCCACCCTCAAACCCAATGAGTAGAAGAAAGGGATATGTCATTGCCACCTATGCACATAGGGAGCTAGGACTGAGTACTGTCTTCTGCAGAGCCAATGGGAAGGGTGCTTGGGTAAAGGGAACCCTCACACCTCCTCTTTGCCATCCAGTGGGCCTCATGGGCCCAACAGGTGCCCATAAGTCTGCATCATCCCAGGCTACTTACAGGGACTTAAGTTATAAGATGTGGTATAGGGAGGGGACTGCCAGCCAAGGAATCACAGTTGTGCAGTTATACACAAGGGTCAGGCTATGGCAATGCCTTCTCAAACATGCTCCATCTCATTTGATCTCAGATGCTCAGAAGGGTACAGCATGGTTGGTGCTTGGATGGGAGGGCTAGTTTAGGATTTCCACAAGCCACAGGTTAGGGGGAGCAAAACACACACTCATGGGTGCATGGGGAAAAGAGAGCTTTGCCCACGAGGGAAAATCTAATTAGGAGGCATTAGATGGCTCCTTAGTCTGGAGGGCAGGGTCAGAGTCATAGCCATGCACACAGTGGCAGCAACCAGCCCGACACTTACAGAACTTCCAAAGCAAGACAGCAGCCACAGCAGCACCTGCAAGGACAGTGACCAGGGCAAGGGCGAAACACAGCGATTTCTTGGTCTCTGCAGAAGAGATGAATGCTCAGGTCAGTGCTGCGGGAAGACGGTCCTCCCACTGTGTGTCAAGTATTGATGCTCTTCAATATCCCCACAGAATCACTCAACTTGAAAACATCACAAGTCAAACTGGGCATAATTGCACATGCTTGTCTATAATCCCAGGACCCAGCGTGTGGTGGGGAGAGGCGAGTGAGGAGGACAGGCATGGGAGTTTAAGGCCAGCCTAGAATACATGTGCTCCTACCCCAAAACATCGAAGAGGAGGAGGAAAAACAGGAGAGGGGGAAGAAATCAAAGGTCCAAGTCCAAAGTACACTTGCTGCACATTGCCAACAGCACAGCTTAACCTGGGCGCGTTTAAACCTGTTTAGAACGCTTGCATTACCTACATTTGGGAAAACCATCCAGCTGGATGTCTGTTCATAATTAAGGATTCTTAATAATGCTGGATTCTGCATGCACCTCATTAAGTACCACACTGAAGCTTAAAAGTAGGATGGTTTTAGACAAAAAAAAAAAAAAAAAAGTAGGATGGTTTTATGTTTACAATTTCACACCATTATGAAGTCAAAAGTCCTAGTTTAGCTACGGTACACAGGACCATTTAGATTCGTTAGGAAAAGCACAAGCACTTGATTTATATTTGTTCTTATGCTGTTAATAATAAATCCCAGGTTCTCACTTATGCTAGTCAAGTGCTCTACCCGCCCTAAGACATAGTATTGCCCACAAACTCACAAATGTCAGTTTGAACGATCAGGGCACCAGTTGGGGTCTTGATGCTTCTGTAGTGTGAAAGACATGCTGGGGGAAATGAACACTGAGGCTACAATTTGAAAGGAAGACCAGCAAAACTAAGCTCTTAAAACACTAGGATACCACAAGAAGAGTCTGAAAATAGGCCAACGTTCAAAAAAAAAAAAAAAAAAAAAAAAAAAAAAAAAAAAAAAAACAGCACAAGGAAGAGAGCTGCCTCACTTTAGACAACTGAAAGTTTGAGTCATATACTGTGCCCCCTCCCAAAGCATCCTGGGGCTGCCAGAAGGTGCTCTAGGCAGAACACCTATCCTTCCCATGGCTGCTGGAAGAACCCAGTGGTATTTGACAGACCCTAGTCACTTACTGAAACTGACACTCTCAGAAATTACACTTAAGTGGGATTAAATTAAAGCGTATAAACTGGGAGTACTCACTTGCCACAAGTGGGAAGGCAAGATGGCTTGGAAGATAAAGGCACTTGCTGCCAAGTCTGATGGCCTAAATTTGGTTCCCAGAACCAACAGAATAGAAGGAGAGGGCTGAATCCAACAGGCCACTCTGACCTCTACACAATGTGGTACCTCACCCACACACAAGTAAATAAATAAATGTTAAAAAACAAACAACAGCCAAACAAGGAACTGGAGAGATGATTTAGTCGCTAAGAACACTGGTTGCTCTTGCAGAAGACCTGGATTCAGTTCCCAGGTCACACTTGGTGACTCACAACTGTCCTTAGCTCCAATTCCAAGGGATCCGGTACCCTCTTCTGTCCTCTTTGGGCCCTGCATACTTATGGGGGCACATATGTATATGCTGGCACTCATAAAATAAGAATACAAATTCAGCTAAGAATAAAGTAATTTGGAGACCTATTTTCCAATAGTTCACTGATTTCTTCAGCCATAGCAAACAGGGATAACACTGCTGGGCAGAGGTTTGAGCCAAAAGTAACATCGAGGTTCAGAAGAGCCACATGTCAGGGAAGGGACCCTGAAGTATCTGACACCTGGCCTTTGACAGTGAGGGGCCTGTCACTCCCAGCAACTCCCTCTTGAGGTGAAGTCCCAGTCTCAGGGGTCCCTGGAGCTTTCCTTGGAAGAAAGGCAGAGAAACAAGACAGGGGAATTATCACTGCAACAGACACTCCCGGGCTACAGAGAGGGCCTTCAAGTCTGTGGATCCTTGCTACATGCACTATGCTTCCAGAAGTCAGCAGAGCAGGGTCAGGTCGGGTTCTGAGCCAAAAGACCCAAGCTCATCTGAAGGCTTGCTTTCATCTGGTTACTGCATCCTGCTGAGGGTATAAAGGTTTTCAAAGAGTTCCTGGGGACTGGTCCTCATCCCTATCAACAGGGATTGTGCTCCTAGAGTGAAATGGGCAACCTGTACTCCCAGCAGCCTCACAGTGGAGGCCCAGGTCTGAAAACTTTACCAGGCAGCAATTTTATCAAAACCCAGTGAGGGGTGACTGTGCCTTCAGGCGCCAGGGTGGAGCCACTAAGAAACCCACAGGAGAAAGTCTCGAAGGCTCACTTGATGAATTACCAAGCACATTTTCCTCTTTGGGCAACTTATCTGCATGCCATTGTATCTGAGATAAAATAACCTGCTTAAAGCTGGCCATGTGGCTCTGAGGTTAGCACTTGCCTAGCATGTCCAGGAACCTAGCTCAGTGGAAAACAAACAAACAAACAAACAAAAAACAAACAAACACTAAATCAGTAACTTGGCTCCTGAGTAAGGGAGATTTAATCAGGTGTCCTTCAGTTCTGGTTGGGGCTTGGCTGGTTTGCTCAGGACCATGTCTGCAGCAAGAAGCCCCTATTTCACCTCTGGAGAGGCATGTGTCACCAGCTGCGGTCCACATAGCAGAGATTTGCAGGGAGTCACTGTTCATTTACATCCATCCTTACCAGCACAGCCTGTTGACTCAGCCCTGTGGTATCTCTGCAACACAGGACTGTTGACTTTGAATTCTTCAAAGGTTCTTGCAGGTGAGTGCACTGCCACTCAAATGGGAATGGTCCATGACAGTTGTTAGAGCAAACAGATAAACTCAAAGTAGAATGTCCTTATGTTCCTCACTTCTTTATCAGTGCTGCCAGCATAACTGGGGACACCTTTTCAGAGCTCAAGACTATTGACAAAAAATGTAGACTTTTGATTTCTTACATGTTAACATGTTATTTCTTTCCCATTTTTCTTTTGTGCGCATTCGCGCGCGCGCGCGCGCGCGCAAAAACACACACACACACACACACATGTCCTTTTTTTTGTGTGTGCGCTCTCGCGCGCGCGCGCGCGCGCACAAAAACACACACACACACACACACACACACACACACACACAGACATGCCCTCAGAGGCCAGAAGATGGCATTGGAACCCCCTCCTGCTGGAGTTGTAGAAGAACTCAGGTGCTGTGTGAGAACAGCTAGTTCTCTTGACTGCTGAGCCATTACACCAGCCCCAGCAACATGATCTTAAAAACAGCGTCAAGGTGAGTGTAAAAATAATAATAAAATAAAATTACTAAACTACTTTCCAGTTCATGAGACATGGTCATCCATCTGGCAGACTAATGGTGGGAAGCCTAAGACTCCAGTCTGAAAGCCTGGCCATGTGATTTCATCAAAGCACAGCCAGAGGTTTTACAACGAAGGTTTACAGTGGAAAAATCACACCCTAGGGTGTATCCTTCCTATATAGGCAATTGGCAAAAAACAAACATGGTCCTTTCCCTGTCTGTCACTTCCTGGTGACTCTCTTGGAATGTGGAAGGATTCAGTAGGGTGCACCAGGAGCCAACTGCCTTCTGAGATGACTGCTAACAACAGGACAGTCTTTTTGGAGGTGCAATCTTCCATAGGCCCATTGGCTTCTGACAACTAACAGGTTCCCCACCCTGGCTTTCTTCCAGCCACCATGGTGAGTAAAGACCAGGCATTCTGCACCTCAGTCCAGCTGACCCTGGCTGGGCTAAGACAAAAGGGGGTTTATGGAGACAGGGAAGGGGGCAAGAGAATAGTGGTGGAGCAGAGCAAAGGACAGAAGAGCCACACAGAGGGTCACGTAGTGGAACAGAAGCAGGAGAGGGACAGCAGGAGAGCCAGAAAGATCGAAGAGGCCTAAGGGCTATCACCTTAATTGCTGATAAAGTCATGGGTAGCCCATGGAATTCACTTCCTTACCAATCTTGAACTGTACATGACACACACAGACAGGTGCTCATTTCACAAAACAGAACCCATCCATTAAAAAGTGTGCGGAGCTGGAGAGATCTCTGTCAGTTAGGAACATCTACTGCTCTTCCAGAGGACCCGAGTTCAGTTCCCAGCACTTATGTTGAGTGGCTTACAACCACTCACAATACCTGTGACCCCAGCTCCAGATGACCCAACACCTTCTTCTGGCCTCCATAGGCACCCAAACACATGTAACACACGCATGCTCTCACACACATAAATAAAATAAATCTAAAAACATCAGTAGAGTCACTGCTGTCCTTTACACTAGACAGACAACACTAATTTAATCTGCCTGGATGAAAAGGTGGTGGGACCTAGGGGTAAGGAATCTAGAGAGAGTAACCCATTAAATGAAAGGGCCAAAGGAGAGGGTAAAGACATTCAGCTTCTGTACTCAATTTTCAGCACTCTTCTGGGGCTTCAGGGGGGTTGAGGGCCCAGGGAGGTAACATGATACATCCCTGAGTGTCTGCTGAAAATAGAGAGGTGACAGGGAGATCAGCTGTGCCATAGAAGAGGCAGCCTGTCTCCCCTAGAAAGGATACAGGAGAGAAACTCCCTCATGAGGGAGAGCCTGTTGCTGGGGGCAAGTACTGGCATAGGTAAGAGAGTGGTACAGGTCTCTGGTTAGTCACAGGAGGTACCTTAACCTTGAACCCTCTGTATTCTGGGCACACCAATAGCATGTAAGATTCCCAACCTGAGTGCTCACTATTGATTCAAGACAACACACCCATTAAGCTCAGAGGCAAGAAAGAGAAACTGTGTCTGGAAAGACCAGCTGAGCTGAGCAAGCACACAGTGGTGCTGCACCAAAAGCCAAGAGGAGAGTAAGGTCTCTGCCTGCCAAAGAGAGGTGAGGCTAGTGCCATAGCTCTGACCAGCCACAGAGTACCAGGCCGGGAGGAAAGACTGATCCTGCTGCCAGTGCACAGTCAGTGACAACATAGGGGGAATAAGAGACCACAAGAGAAGTCAGACCCAGAAACTGCAGTCCCTCGTGGTACAATGCTAAAGAGTCTTACTTGAGGTTGAGGTGCACAGTGTCCCTGAGGAATTGGGCTGTGTGTGGATGGCAGTTGTTGAGGCCTGTGTTGTAACCCTCGGGGCATACTGGGGCACTGGAGATGGGTAGTACTGGTCTGGATACAAGTTGTAGCCATCGGGACCCACAGGTGGCCTTGGGGTATGATAGATGTGCTCGGACTGAAACCCATGGTTCTCATAGTAAGGTCCGATTCCTGGAGGTGACCCCTAAATGATGGGGAAAGAGAGAACTCAGTCACAGCTCCATTCACCCTAAAAGCTTGGAAAGTTAGCATCATGTTACGTTCCCCTAAGACAGGGAGAGAGCCAGCATATTCGCCACACACTATGGCATTACAACAACTCCCTAAGAAGGACTAGACTCTGTTTCTGAATTAACTAGAATGTTCAACAATGTGTGTTTCATTGGCTTTGGTGTCCTGGTTACTTGTTTCCATTATTTGTTCTCTGAAATAAAGAAAAAGAATGATTGGTATTGGGATTACATACAGGAAAATAATGAAAGAAAAATACATACAAGCTTGGGGTCAAAGGTCATTGAGCTAGCATCCCATTGCTCTGGTTCCTCCTCCAGGTTACCCCCTGCGCATTGAGATATGAAATTATGAGCCAGGCTGATTCAGAACAGCTTGTGCCTGAGAACTCACCTGCTGAAGAGACCACATTCAGCACCTGTGTACAACCTCAGGTGGGGTAAATGCATACTTTCCAGCTGTGCTGAGAATCTGCTAGAAGGAACCCAAGATGCAGGCTCCTCTGGCCATTCTATCCCAGGGCCCCTTCTCTCATGCTGCTGTAATTGGCATTTACCCACCTGCTCTCACCAGGGTGTTATTAGCTCAGAGCAAGCAACCACACAGTGTGTGCATCTTGGTGCAGAAGGTTCAGGTGCCCTTTCAGGGGGGCTTGGGGGTCAGAGCAAAGACAGGGTCCTCTGCTGGGGTGTCAGTCCTTTCTCATGACCTTCCCTGGGCTGCACTCCTGGGTCGCACCCCTAGCAGTCCCTCAGGACTTCATAGCTTGGCATTCTTATTTCCACTCTCCTCATTCTCTCAGTGGCTAGACCTCTACTGCAGGTCCCCGTTACCCTCATCCATGTCTAATGGTTCTCACCCCAAATCTCTCCAGCTCCCTTTCTGCTCAGGCTCTCTCAGGGGCCTCAGGAAATAACAAGGCATCACCATCTGGAAGCAGACACCCTCAGTAGGGGCCACTAAATGTTCGGATTACTAAAACTAATTTATGTATTGTGTATGTGGCACATGTGTGTGAACAGGGATCAGAGGCCAACTTGTAAGAGGCAGTTGTCTCCTTCCACCCTGTGGGTCCCAGAGATCCAATGCAGGTCATCTCTTACCTTGTAGAACTGTCTTGCTGGCCTATAGGCTGAGAATTTTAAGCATGGTAACATGAACGCTCCAAGGTTAACAATCTGTGCTTAATAGCTCAGCACTGTCCCTCAAAAGCCCAAAGTTTATGACTTGAAGCCGGCATGGTGGGACAGTGAAAGCCATCCCTCATCTGAATAAGGCACTCCAGATTCGAACATCAGGTAAGTGTTTGGCCCAGATCCAAACCACTTGAGTGTGCTTCCCTCCCAGGAGGAAAGGCCAAGACACAGCAAGCAGTTTGTCCTGGTGGAGCTCTTAAAACTATAAAGAGACCCAGTTAAGAAAAAAACAACAATAACAACAAAAAAACACTAAGTACCAAAGGCTCATAAAAGGGAAAACTAGCATGCTTTCCTATAGAATCTAGAAAAATATTATTAGCCATTAAGTATTTATAAATGTGGAAGACATAAGGTGAACTGCTCAGACTTGAGGTTGACAAACAGGTGTGGCTATTCCCCAGTTACTGACAGGAAGATACTGACAGTATCATCACAGACTCTCTTCCCTAAACTGATACTTTGTGCCCCATCCTGCCTCCCCTGTATGCGAATCTTCTGCCTTTGAAGGAGGAAGGGAACACACACAGCGTGTCAATCCCAGCTTCTGCCCATTGGTGGCTTTCCAGACACTCCGTGCCATATTGGGCTCCTCTGATCCCTGCCCTCACCCTTTCCAATACAACTGTGGTGGTTTGAGTAAGAATGACCCCATAGGCTCATATATTTGAATGTTTCATCCTTAGGGAGTGGAACTCTTTGAAAGGATTAGAATTAGGAGGTATGGCTTTGGTGTATCACTGAGGATGGACTTCGATGTTACAAATGCCCATACTGGCTGTAGATCAGGATACAGAACTCTGAGCTACCACTCCAGAAACTACCTACATGTCACCAAACTCCCTACCAAGATGATAATGGACTAAACCTCCAAAACTTTAAGCCAGCCCCCAATTAAGTGCTTTGTCTTGTGAGAGTTGCCTTAGTTGTGGTGCCTCTTCACAGCAATAGAACAGTGACTAATTCGCTTTGCACAATGACCAAAGGGCCACCGCTCCTACACATAGCTCTTAAAATTACAGATGGACACCCATGGAAGATAACAGAAGGATGAATGGACAAGGAGAAGGCCAGAGATTTAACAATCGACCACTTACTGAGTTCAAAGCCATCCTGGCTGTGTCAACAGCATGAGGAGGTGAGTATCTAGCTTCTCCCCGTGCCCTAAAGGAAAGAAGCACACACAGTAATATTTCAATGCAGTTTAGTTTTGGAAGACTCCAGTGAAAGTCACATTGTACCAGAGCAAGCTGTAGTTCTGCCCCTGGCTTTGAGACTACACTTCAGCTGCATCTTCCCACATCTCTTCATTACTGGTGTGTTTATGCCATGCAACCTAAAGTCCTCCCTCTGGGATATGGAGCAACTCATGAGTGAGACTGGGATACAATTTGAACTACTGTGACCGGGAGAGCCTGGCCTTTAAGAAGTGGGGACAGGCATAGGGCCCTGCCTATAGGGGAGTACCCAAGGCTGAGCCCTTCCTCACTTATACAGTCTCAGCCGGGGAACTTAAATAATGGCTCCTCCCAGTTACATTCCCCCAAATGAAGACTCACAGGAGAAAAACCACAATAACTACCAAAAAGAAACGCCAAAACCCCATCCCACCCCATAGAGGTCAATGATAGGTCTACAAGGCAAAGACATGGAGTTGCCTTCTACTTGTGCCCCTTCCTGGAAGCATCCTCGGACAAGCAACTGAATGAGCCTGACATCTCAGCTTCCATCTCCACAAAGTGGATACCATGGTCAACACATTTTAAGATGCATTTCACTGCAAATGTGCATGAAAGGGGGTCTTCAGAGAAGGATCTTCAGCTGCAAAGGAGCAGCTGGCAGGATCAGAACCACACAGGGTATTTTCCTGCAAACACCTGCCATTGAACTGGTGGCCTGAACACCAGAGACAGGTTGCATTGGACTCTTCCACATAAGTCTCACAGGGCTGCCTTATGCTTTAGTAAATAATGTGCTTTAATATTTCTTAATAAAACATTGTTATGTTCCAAATGTGAAATAGGACGCCAGCTAGTGGTGCTGTTTTGGAAGGGCATGAGCCTTTTAGACACAGCCTAGGCATAGGACTTGAGACTGACAGGCCAGCTGTACTCCACTCCCTAGCTCTTCTTCTGGCTAGAGGTCCTGCTTCCTGCTACCAGGATGATAACAAGAAGATTCATGCTCCCACTGATGCAGACAGGAGGTGGTCCTGGGCATATCATCCCAGCCATGATGGATGTATTTCCTGAACAGTGATCCATAATAAACCCTTTTTCCTGAAAGTTGTTTTGTCAGTTACGCATCACAAGAAAGAAATAGTACATGATATACAAAACCACCCCCAATCTGTTTACTATCCAAAACCCTACCAGAAAACACAACTGACCTAACTTCTTTGACTGACTCAATGATGTGTGATTATGAAAAGTCCCTGGGTCATTTCATACCTAGCCATGTGTGAAAAGTCAATAACAAGCAGAGATGCCATCAGTGTCAAGTCCCGTACTTAAACAAGCCATCTTTCCCATGGCCATCCTCCAATGACAGACTTTCATCGAGATTCTGAGTCTTGGTACACTCCCTCATGAAAATCTAGTTTAATGAAACCTTGATAAACCAGTTTACAGAGGATCACCATTTTCAATAGCTTCCTGGTCCTCTATCATCCTCAGAGGATACCCAGTGAGCCTGACCTCTTTTCGGCAGGAACTGTGCTGTCAAGTCAGGCTGGTCAGGCTAGCCAGATCAGATCCCTTTTCCCCATCTTGTCTCTTACGGACTTCCCAAACACAGACTCTGCTCCACAGCTGTAGGTTCGTTCCCATTCTCTCTTACTGCATTGAGAACAAATGCAGTCTCTTCCCCTGCCTGGTCCCTCCACCTGCTGAGATGCTTCTAAATCCACTGGTCCTCACTTTGCCTCAATGGGAGTTGTTGCATTATTTTTTTCATCGATGTCCTCTTTGCTTTGCTGTGCTACAGTCCTCTCAGCTGGACTTGAAATGATCCAAGACCATTTAAGAAACCATCTTGGGGGAGGAGGGGTGTTTATCTATCCAACAGTTAGCTGTGATCTAGGAAGGTCCTATGCCTCGATTATCTTTCAAGATACATAAGAGATTGTACTAATCTCAGGAGCTTGAGTAAATCAGCAATAACATGATTAGTGTTGGTACACTGTGATACCTTAGTCTTAGTTAAATAAAAACTAATTTTACCTGAGGATATAGCATGGTGGTAGAATGCTTGCCAATCACTTGGGGGACCTTGGATTTGATCCAAACACCACCAAAGAAGCAATTCTAAAGGCTGCTGGTGGCGGGTATTGGGTAGCCTCTCTTTCAAAGCATCCTCTTCAACACTTGCAGATTGGTACTGGTATTCTAGTGAAAAGATCACCTGCTCTCAAAGTTCAGTCTCTCTGAATGGAGAAGCAGAGGCCACCTGTTCATCTCCTAAGCAAAGTTACAGTACTTGGATCACTAAACAAAAGAAGCACCCCCCACCACTACCCCAAACCAACAACCTGCAATGAAGAAAGATGATAATGGCTTTGAACATTGAATAGGTCACAGTAAATATGCACCAGGCCATTCCTTTCTTCACTTGTAGATCACACAAATAGAAGAACCAGATCATGTTGAGAGACTCTAGGTTTTTCTTAAAGTCAACAGCTTTCTGTATATGAGGAAGGACATGCGGCTGAGAAGTCACCATGAAAATATGTGGGAAACACCTAAATCTGTTAAAATGGTGCAACTATCACCCACTAGCATGCCTTCTCTATGACCACTTTGTAAATAATGGACTCTAAGGTTGGATAATGGGAGATGTCATTCTGTAAACATGTCTCTCTTATTGATTGATGAATAAAACACTGTTGGCCATTAGGGTAGCAAGATAGGCGGGACTAGGAGAGAAGGAGGATTCTGGGAAATGTAGTAGGAAATTGCCATGTGATCATCTGAGTTTCTTTTTCTATGAATACCTCCTTGTTCCAAGATTGCAAACTTTCTGGGTGGGAATTAAGTTTTTTTTATTATTATTATTCCAATCTATCTTTGTAGCATACAAATGTATCAGTGTGTGTGTGTGTGTGTGTGTGTGTGTGTGTGTGTGTGTGCTTGTACTGCTTAATTTTTTGTCAACTTGACATGTTAGGGTCATCTGAGAAGAGGGAACCTCAGTTAAGAAAATGCTTCCATCAGACTATCCTGTAAGCAGGTCTTTGGGCAATTTTCTTGACTGATGACTGAAGTGGGAGGACCCAGGTCACCATGAACAGTGTCACCCTGGGAAGATAGTCAAAGCAGGCTGAGCAAACCATGTGGAGCAGGTCAGAAAGCAAAGTTCCTCGATTGCTCCCTGTTTTCTTTTGCTTGTGGCCCCCCCCCCCCCCCCCATCCCTTCCCTATATTCCCTGGATGATGGACTGTAAACTACAAGCTGAAACAAACCCTTTCCTCCTGGAGTTGTTTTGGTCATGATACTTGTTATCTGTTTAATCACAGCAATAGAGAAGCAAACCAGTAAGAAACACCACAGAGACACACATGCTCAAACACACACACACACACACACACACACACACACACACACACACCTGCACTTACACACAGAGAGAAACCACAGAGACAGACACACACACACTCACACACAGAGATGTGCATACAGTCACAAACACACACACATGCAGACACACTCAGACACATACAGGCATACAGATATACATACATGTGCACACAGATGTGCAAACACACATTTTGTTCTTTTGTTTTGTTTTGTTTGCTGTTTTAGTTCCAAAAGCTAAATGAATAAGATAAAATTGAACAGCTAGGGATGGGAAGCCCACATCAGGACATTACCAGCTTCACAAATTGGACACAGTGGGTGACCCCACAGAGTGTAAGCACATGGAGCTGTGTGTGCATCTAACACCAAGATAAGCAGAAAGGCCTAAGGTCATGGCTGAGGAACTCAACACACATCCAGGCCCCTGTTTAATGAGGATATTGAGTAATAAATGGAATGATATAAAGACTGAGTGAAAGTGTATGTTCTCCAGCTCTGAGCTCAATATAACAGGAATTTGTCTTCCAATATTTATGTTACTGCTGTATGGAGAAGAGACCTGACTCAGGCCATGTAAACCCAGAGGCTGGTCAGGATTAAGGATCAGAATCAGCCGGAAGGCAGGCTTTGACTGAGCCCAGGGAAACAAAGTTTCCCACAAAAGTTCAGCTGATTATGGGAACTACTAGGAAAGTGCGAAGTCCTCAAAGCACAAGAACCAGGACTGGAAGGTCGGGTCTCCAGTGCAATCTAGAACAGACATGACTAACCATTAGCTACAAGGCCAGACCAGACGTGGTGACCTTAAAGTCTCTACCGACTCATTATAATGTATTGTTGACAGTAAACTTGAACACTTTTCAGAGTTCTGTTTAGAAGGACCTCCAAATTTGTGGTCCCTAGAAATCACCTCCTGTGTCCTGGAGGTCAGATCATTCAGATGAGCTCCAGAGTCACCTGCCTGGATACCCGTTGGAAAGCAAGGGTGGTAAATTAAAGGGAAATTGACTCTCTGTGTTGTACCTTAGGCAAACAAGCAATCACAAAGCCAGACTTGTTTCATCTACCAATTCAGTTCACGTGAAAATATTGAATTGTCACTCCTCAGTCACAGTGTTGAGGGTTACCCACTGGCTTTGAGTGAATTTCCACAACCACAGCCTTTGCTGGCTTTCACACACTAGGTTCTTTGTTATCATACCCTGCTCCTTGAGCCCAAGTCCCCATGTCTGATGGCTCACCTGTGTACACAAGAAAGGCATACAGACTTCCTCCCCTCCCCCACTGCCTACACTGAGAACAGAAGAATGTCTTGGCCACCTGACCTTTTTAAAGTCCACCTGTGCCCAGTGTAGGTCACTGACAATATACATGGCCTCCAGTATCCCACATGCATTCCCCTCCCAAGAGCCACCCATTGCCCAAGATACCCCTATGCATTCCTGTTTCTTTCTCCTGCCGATCAGCTGCTGGGAGAAGCAAGCCCCAGGTCCATCTCTACTTCCTTCCAGAATACCAGGTCTATTCTGGGGGTCATCCTTGAGGGTGG